GTATCAGAAATGCTTGAGGGGTAAAAATCAAGTTGGAGGGATTTCAGATAGCCCAGGGAGATTTAATTTGGGAGCGACGCGTTACATTCTGAGAAAAAGTTGCAGATGACATTGAAGAATGTTTGTGTGATGGGGGGGACCGTTATTTACTGTCAGACTATGAAATAGTTTCCGTGGGAGAGTGGTTGTGATGCACTATCACACGAGCCGGTTGCAGCTAGGATTGATTAAAGGCAGGCGGCGTGGAAAAGATAAAAGGCAGCTTCCATCTCTAGTCAAATAGACCTTTGTCTTATGAGTAACTGCAATTTAAGTGTTTCATTTATTACTGCATAAAAGCTAAATAATGATGGTTCAAAGAAGAGATGCTTGTCAAGTTTACTACTTAGTCATGTGAGGAAAAATAAATGGTTATATGTTAATTAGAAATGAATTAAGCTACAAACTACATTGATTCAGAGATAGATGCACATGTATGTGCACACATGCAATTTTCCTGGAAAGGATCTTTTAAAATATCTCATTAAAGCTGGAGACTAAAAGTAAAAAAGCTGTTTTTCTTGCTTTTTTTTTTTAATGTTGGTTACTGCAAACAAAATAATAGGCTGGCTAAATTTTAGCTCAAGAAAACAGTTGTAGTCCAGTGTGTTTTGGGCTGTTTGCTTTTAAAAACCTGAGGCGTAGACCTATGTTGAGATTACTTTCTATAGTGTTGCTTTTGAAGTCGATCATGGATCAAGAACTGGTTTACTTCTGTTTTGTCTCTGTTTGGAACGTATTTTAGAACTATATTTGCAGTTTTGGAATCCTGATGTTTAAAACAACAAGAAAAAAAAAATTTTTTTTTTTTTGGTCAAACAAAACCAAAATCTTGTATTAGATGGGTGATTTTATTTATGTTTATTAGAAAGTGTCCTGAGCATCTCTGGATGGCATAGGCTGGCTTTTGGCTTTCGGCCATGAAGCTGATTGCTGCTGCGGGGCCGACAAGAGGTTTGCTGCTGGGGGCTGCAGGAGTGATTGGCCTCAGCAGGTGCCTGATCATGAAATGTCTCTTCTGCTCGCCTCCCCCTCTGTCTCCAAATGAGCTTCCCAGAGTATAGAGACATGGAACTAAGTAGGAGGAAACATTTCTGGTTTGGCAATTTCATAGGTTTAAATCTGCTTTGTAACGTCAAAAAACTCCCTATTTTGTTGGAGCTGTAATTCATGCTTGATTTTAAAAACTTACCTCATACTGTAAATAGAGAATTAAAACAGATCCATCAAGGATTTCAAGAATGTTTGTGGCGCTTAGAAGTTAGTTTGATTCATAAGTAGCCTGTTTTATAATATTAATGCCATGCTCTTCCATGCATATGTCTTGTTGCATCGATTCCATTTGTTTGCATGTGTACGTTTAATAAAGGTGTGTTTTAAGGATATGCATTTTTCCTACTAGGTTTTCAGCATTAGGAGTTTTTTGCTTTTGCCCATCGGTTTACTAGTCTTTTGGTATTTAAGCATAGGTAATACTGTGGTTCTGTGACTGATGCCAAATAATTTTACTAAGCTAAGGCTAAACTTGCAGTTTAAGAACAAAATCGCTCATGCAGGACAAAAAAAAGCTGTACAAAAGAAGTAATGATTTATAAATAACACTCCAAAATATCCTATATCTTGGCACCTACATCTTTTTATATCTTCTGCATCTGTTGGATTGTTCAGAATCTGGGTGGAAAAAATGCAATAAATTGAGTTAGTTTCCATTGTGCTAAGGAATATGGGGAACCTTTCTTTTAGTTTTGATTCTTGCATCAGTGGTAAAACTCTGCACTGTAGTTTCAGTAGCACTTCATTATAGGCACTTCACAAACCAAGGATGCTGGCCAGTACTCTCAGGAAAGACTTGTGCTCTGGCTGAGATTTCCTAGAAGTACCAACCTCACTTCTCTTGGTTACTCAGATCTCTTATCTGAACTCAGTAGGTGTTACTTGGAAGTCTTATCCAATGTATCTAGATAAGGAGATTACTGCTCTGGCATCGCTCTGCATGTGCAGCTCTTCAGACTCTTCTCCAGTAATTTGTTCGTTCGGGTGTGCCTGTGACAGCCTCACCTGTAAGGCAGATTCAGTCCCCTGCCTGCATGGCAGGTCTCGTGGACATAGCCAGGGGCTTGTCACACTTCTCGGGACCTGTCTGCTTTTTTCCCCATCTCCAGGGTGCACTTTCCAGCCATATTTTTCAGGCATTTTCAGCCTGGGGTTTTGATGAAATGGTTTTACAACTGTCTCCCATGTGCGCTTGCAAAGAGTTTCATCCCCAGTAAGCAAGAGTTTGAGTGACCTCCTGAAAGTCAGGCAATTAGTTGTGGGTTGTTGTGTGTTGGCTACAGGAATCAAACAAGTGTTTGGGTTTTTTTTTAATAATTTGTTTTATTTTACACTTCTTTGAATGGTAAGGCCCCCCCCACCCCCCGAAAATATTAATCCTGAAGCCTGCTTTTGAAGTCTTACTGCTGAATGTAAGTTGCTTTTTTACATCACGAATTATGATGCGTGAACATCATGCGCATTTGTGTACGTTTGGAGAAAGCTAGATTTTATTCACTTCAGTCCAATCACAAAGCACAGTGATCCATTTGACCTTTAGCTTTTAGCGCCCTTGCGTTCCTTTACCTTTTCCAGACCTTGCTGACAAATGTCAGCATGCCATAACGTATCAGTTTAGGCATCTGTTGATGGCAGGTTCCACCCTTCCAAAGGTTTGAGGAGCTTCCCTATAAATAACTGTGTTGGTCATAGCTTTCTATATGCTTGTAGGGTTCCCTGATCTGTGTTTTATAGTAACAGGATCTCTTAGCTCACAATGTAGGTATGAACACCAAATTTTGGAGGAATTTTGGCTTCGTTGTTGAAGCCTTTTGTAAAAGGATGCACCATACAAGTTGTAATTCTGATGAATTTAGCAAGTCAAGAAGCTTTTCTGAAATCAGTGCATCTCCTTTTTCCTTTACCGTCTACTTTTCTTCATTGCATGGGACTTGCGCTGCTAACTTTCCCTTGTTAGCACCCTTCGGTTTCAACTCTGGGTAAAATTGCTCTGTTGACCTGTGATGCTGAGGGACTGGCCGCTATTCTGAATCTGAGAGATGGCAAGTCTTCCTACACTTCAGGCTTCCCCTTTCACCAGAAAAATGTATTTGATAGCATAGGATTAACACCAAATGGAAGGATTTTTCTGGTTTTGTTTGAATTTTTGGCTATTGTTTTTAGTTGCTGAAGATTGCTACTCAGATGTCTGTGGGACATAAACTGATGTTGAAAAATGCCAGCCATGATCCACTGAATGTGAAATTTCCTGCTTTCAGTCTGTCAAATTACACATTTTTGGAGTATTGCATTTGCGTTTATCTTGCAGCATTAGGCAATACTTTTTCCTCTGTTAAAGTATTTATCTTCAGATGCTGTCCAATATGCATGTCACAGCTGTCATGTATTACAGTCTCTGAGATTTTTAGGAAAGCCTTAACCGTATCAGGTAGGCTGATGGGACACTTTCCACAGGTTTACAGACAAGTGACTGTTCATACACAAATGCAAAGACTGAGTCCCTAGTATTTCACGTATTTCTACCGCTTTGCCATAGACAGTTTTCAAGACCTAGCCTCACTTCTGTTGGAGAAATGAATGGTGTGGAGACTGGTGGCTGTACTTTGCGGTTGGTCATTGTCAAAAGGAACCACAAGGAACCAAAACTTCTTGGTCCCTACTGAATGAACTAAAACAGAGGCAGTTAAAAACCAAAAGAGATGAAAGCCTTCCTTTTGCCTCCCTTTGAGAAGACGCCTACTAGAGCATGACCATGGCCCAAGGTGAATTCCACTTTTGGGAATAAAGATGAAGTAATTCTGCTGTTTGTAGCGCTTTCTTCAAGGAACAGACTTGTGCTTGCAGGCAAGGGAGAGTTGTGAGGTTTTGTATGCGCAGCACAAACAGCTACAACTTCTCTGTTGTAAGATAGGAAATACATCTGGAAACAAAGAGGGAATTTGCACCGTCCAGGACTGCTCTTTGCAGCCGGCTATAAAATGATGAGCAGATTGAGGACCTGTGATATAAATCAGTGCATAAATCTTACCATGTGTTGCTTTATTTCTGTTTCTGTTCTTGGGAATGAAGCTCGTTGAAATTCAGTGGCATCAGATGAAAAGATTAATTTATTGTTCAATCAAGGTCAATAATGTGAACTTTACAAAGGTTTCTGTTGCAAGACTTATTTCATTCAAGTGGACCAAAGGCAGTTGAGCTGAACTTCGGCAGTGACCTTGATCAAAGAGGCAGGCTGGTCAAGAGGCCTTTCTTATTCTGGTCTGAATATACTGCAGGTCACTGGGGGCTATAAACCTACTGAGAGAAAGGCAAAACAAAGTCCTGTAACAGGTCTGTCTGTGATGTTGAACTTTTGACTTTCTAGTAGTTGCAGCTGGGGAAAAGTCAGCTTCACTATCAATGGGGAAAATCAGCTTCACTATTAATTAAGTCTTCCATGCATGTGACCAGTCATTGACAAATACATAAACTTTGAAGAGATTGAGATGGAAAAACTAGTATGGAAAAAGCTGGTTTACAGCCTTCCTCTCTCCTCTTGTGAGAAAAATTTAATATCTGAAGAGAGAAGAGGCTGGAACTTGGCATCCAGGAAATTCTATGTGCCTATCCCTGCTTGTGTCTTTTGGTGAATGTGCACAGCTTCCAGCCGGTAAAGTAGAAGTGGAGTTTGATTTTGAAAAATAGGCAATACTGTGCAATACTTTTCCTGTCATTCAAGTGAAATAAGAACAAGAACCTATAAATATTGCTTCATCAGAAAGAAAGATAGTGCAGCGACTTTCACAGGGACATACTCGCAAAGGAGAAAATAGATATATATTTTTCTTTCTGTGAATATGGTCCTGTGTTCAGAGAATATAAACTTAAACCATCCAAATTTCTCATTTACCATTCTTGTGATATTTCAGCTTAATGACGGTGGCAAGGCAGCTCGAGCACACGTGGGGATAGGTGATGTGGTTCTCACCATTGATGGGATAAGCACGGACGGGATGACTCATCTAGAAGCACAAAACAAGATCAAGGCGTGTACAGGCAATTTGAACATGACTCTGCAAAGGTAAGATACCTTTTTCTTTTTTTTTTTTAAAAAGAATTAATCATCATCGTAACAGTTGTTCGGAGGATAAAAATGTGTAAGTGGTTTGGCAAAGTGCATGGAGTTAAGCGGCCACGATTGAAAGATATGCTGCTGTAGCCTGAAATGTGTCTTGGTTTATAGCATTTTAGAAAACTTATTAGATGTTAATTATGTGAGTAAACAAAGACCTTCTCCAACCTTCTGTCACCTGCTCTACACCGAATGAAGTCTAGTTCCTCTTCCTTTTGAGATTCAGTTTTGTTAACACTTGTTTAATTAAAAACAGGTCTTATCCAGGCTCTTTTTCCCCTCCCCCTCCCCTGACTGACTAGGGGCACTTCTTTTTTTGGGTCAAGTCCTACATCGTCATTTTTAGTAGCAAACAGAATGATGGATTTAAACAGTTAACCCCTGAGGTATATGGATGAAAATACTGCAGCTCAGAGTCACAGAGAGATGTTCCCCAAAGCGATACTACCATTTCACAAAGTAGCTGCCTCCCTTTGCTAGTTGCAGCATCTACTGTAGAAGTTACAGCTTGATCCAGCCTCCCCATTCCTGAAAGATACAGTTTATTGAATCTCAGCATACCGCTGTTAGCCTGGGACTATGTTTTGGGAGGGGTTGGAAGAAGGGAGCAGGACGCTCACATGTGGGTTATTGGAACTGAAGCAGGAAGAACAGCAGCACAAACAAGAAATTCCTTCGAGCTCTCAAAAGTCTCCCAGGGCTAAATATTGGCTTTTATTAGAAGACTGCTATTTTTATTTAATATGATGTGAGTGAGCGTCTTGGAGGAGGATTGGCCTCTGAAGCCATCACATAATGAGAACCATCTTTTCTTGTTATCAAAGAAAACAGCAGCAGTTGCACCCTGTGATTGCTGTTTGTGTCTACCTTCAGCAGTGCAAAGTTCCTTGATGAGTGTTGGTGGAGGCCCATAACAGTATCTCTTCACCAGTTACTACCTTTTCTGGCAAATTATCCTGCCCTTAATGAAAGGACCACCTCTCTGAGAGTTCATTGGTATAAGAATAAAAGAGATGACATGGTTGTAGGTCTGACAAACGTCCATCTCTCCGGTGTGGTGGTGCTTGTTCCCAGCCCTAAGTGACGTGTGGTTGAATGGTTTTGTGGGTGCTTTCTTTTCTAAGAGGCTACAGTTCAGCCCTTCTTGTTGTTTCTTGTTTTTTCCTGTTGTCCTTCTGTACTTTGGTCCTTAGCTACCCTTAATAAGGGATTCCCTTTGCTCAGCCTCTGAGGAAAGGAGTATCTTGTGGCGTGGTTCATGCCTAGGGCATCTTCTCGAGTGAAACTTGTAAAGTTGGCATTAAAAGTTTCTTGATGAAACAGAGGTATTATACCAGCTCATCAGAAGAATCACGCGTTGTATCTAGTATGTCGCTTGCTTTTCTGTCTCCCAACAAGGCAGGCAGGTTGTTTAGAAATGCACTTTCCAGGAGCCCACTGAGTCACTCCAGCAGGCAGCTGGGAGTGTGGGGGTTTGGCCCACTTTCTCCTGTCACCATAAATTGATGGGCAGGGTTAATATCAGATATAGGAAAGGAATAGCAGGTGTGTCGTGGTTAGGCAATCACTTGTCTGAGGCTGCTTCTGGTTGGGTGCAGGGATGAGTGGTTTGAAAATCGGAATTAATCATGAGTTAGCCCGGTCCCCTTCTGTTCTCACCCTTCCTACTCAGCGTAGCATCTGACTCACCAGCGTCAGCTACCTGACAGCTGAAGGCTAAGTCAGGATCAGACTAGCAGAGATCAAAGGAATAGCCTTGGTCCCAGCATCTGGGGGTGGGACAGATGTCCTGTCTTGCAGCTTTGCTGGTCTGCAGTCCCATGGTCTCAGCTGTTTCTAATTCTGCCCAGATCCCATGAAACCAAAGCCATAGACAGTGCTCTCCTGGCTCCTCTGCCGTGAAAACTTCCTTGCTCCTATTGCTGTTTAGCAGGAGATTTGTTTCAGTTGTTTATTTGTTCTTTTTATCCTGGAAGAAAGTGCTTCTTGGAGTCAGACTGGCTCACGCTAACTGCAGATGCTGGCTGCCCATGGGAAGGACGGCTTGAGACTATAAACAGGGTGGCAAGATAAGCCATTTTACTATTGAGGGATCTCCATAATTATATACTTCTGATCTTGCCTCTTCTCCCAAAACCAAACTAAACTAAATTAAATATTTTGAGCTGTTATTGTTCATGTGCAAAGTTAGAGATGCTATCAATGTGAAACTATGTTGGCCTTCAAAATATGAGTTGTTGCCATAGATAGGAAAATCTAAGACTTATCTAATTTTTTTTACTGCTTTTAATTATCTTTAGGGTTTTTTACACTTCCCTGAGCTTTTATTTACTTCCACACAGACTACTAATAGCTTGACCTACAATGCAAGAATGTTGAGGTTAGTCTTGAAAGCATATATAAATTCTTCGATACTGCCCTAGTTTGCTGCTGCTTTAAAGGAACACAATGATCAGTTGGCTAGTGGTGTTACTTTGAGGTCCAAGAAAATTGGAAGAGTGTTATGGCTTTTGCACTGTGACCGTGTTCATGTGCTGTTTTATGAAAGGTGTCAAAGAACTCAGTTTGATCAAATTAGTTGTAGGAACCAGAATATATTTTGTAAGTCCAGTTTGGTACGTTTTTGGTGGTAGCACCAAGTGACCTTTATTCATGATAAATTGTAAGTAGTACTGTGCATTCATCTGCGGATGCCTGCTTTACTCTTGATCAGTTATAATTTGACACAGATTCATGTGGAATATATGGAAATTAATATAGTGGAGCAGACAAGTGTAATGTGAAAATAATGACAATATGGGGAAAAATGGCTGGGCACGCCACCAGCCTCACGGCACGTAAGAGACGGGGCTAGCTGTGCTGTTTGCTAGGGAGAGACTAGCCAAAATAATCAGTAGTTATTTGAAAAAGAAACAGGGGTTTGCTCTGGCTTTTTAGTTTTTTGGGATTTTTTTTGTGAGGATCAAAATGATAGTTGGTAAAAAAGCAGTGGTACACCCTAGAGATTAGTAGGCCAGTGAACCCAAGTGGGTCCCATCTGAGGTTGATGGGCTCCAGCATCCCAGTTTGCACGTTGGCCGAGGCATGGTGACAGCCTGCCTTTTAAAAGCTACGAAGGAAACTTTGTGAGTCTACGTGGCAAAGGCGAGAGAGGAAATTCTTTGTTATTAGCTTCCTTATTATAAATATTTTAACTTGTTATGCTTTTGTACTGCTGGTCAGGTTTTCACTTGACTTCTATGCTTTATGTGCAAAGTGGAAAAAATAAAATTAAGAGAAACAAAATAAAGGGCAAGAAGTAGCTTGTCTGGGAGGGTGGAAGGGATATTTAAAGCAATGCCTTCAAAAGCTTTACTTACCGGTTTAAAGCAGTATATTTATGGAGGCAGATGTGCACATACCTTTTGTGGAAAACCAATTTAGATGTTTTGTAACTTGTAAATGAATGTTGGAAAATATTTGAAGGGAGAATAAAAGGTCCCTTTTTTCCTGTGTAAGGCAATATCACATGTTGGGTTTTTAAATATGGAATTGTTCTCTGTCCCTGGAAGGAACTGAAATTACAGCTGTCACAATTGCAAGTCCACTTTGCTTAAATAGAAATAGATAAAATTGTGCTTGCCAGCCATGTACAGTAGTAGGTGGCTAACATTTGCATGTGTTGTCAAGTATTTTCAGGTATATGTCTTTAAAATTAATTAGTTCTGTAAACAAGTCTCGCTGTTTATTATGGAGGTTATAATTTTTAAATTGTGAAATAAAAATATAATTTTGGTGTATTTGCTCATTTTTAATATTAGACATAGCTTAAAATTCTGGGGGGAATTTTTTCTTTTTTCTTTTTGTAACATGCAATTTTAGGTTACTGATAGTTTGTGGGGTTTTCTTATACAATAAATGCATTTCATAGGGAATTCTTCTTTGTATGAGTCCCTCCCTCCCTGAGATCTTGGTCTTTTGCACCCCAACATTTTATTCTCAGTTAAAGTCCTTTCCTAGTTCCCATGAGGAAAGATGGAAACCAGATGCTTGCTTTTTGGATATATTTTCAAGTTTAGTAACTTAGCATGCACTTCCATAAACAAATCTGTAAGTTGCTGAATAGCTAAGAGCTGCCACCAATTTAAAATATTGTTTTTGGGGACTGTTTCTCCAGACTCCTGCCTTAATGATTCTTTGGAAGTGAGAAAGATAAAGAATTGTGTATTTCTACTGCTACATGAGATCATGATACCCATGAAACCTCTGGAAAAAGTATCAGTGAGCAATACAAGGATAAAAAAACCCCCAAAAAACCAAAACCCAAAAAGCCTGGAAAGTTGTTTTTGCTTTTATAATACAGAACTTATTTAGCTCTTTATTTCATAAAACAGATCTGCACAGCTATAGTGTGCATTGTAAAGGAATTTCTTTCACCTCTCCCTGTGAATTCAGTCATTTAGGACAAAAGGCATTGGGATCGCTCGGCTTGGGACGTGAAAGGAGGATTTTCAAGGTTGTTTACCTCTCTCTTGCTATATTGCAGTGCTTCAGAAATCTTTTTGGGTGCTGTAGGTTGGCAATGAGCAGTTACTACAGTTCTGCTTCCAGCTCTTCAATGGATGACTTTATGGATTTTTGCAAATGAACGTGGGTGTTACAAAGCAATAGATGAATTTCAGTGATGGCTATGTTTGTTTTTCCCTAAACCTTTTAAAACCACAGGGTTGCCCAAGCATCACAGGTGAGGCTAGGGCCTGCTGGGTAATTTTGATGTCCATGTTAACAGGACTCAGAGCCAAAATTCAGACGAGCCTTAAGGCTGGGTTCTGCAGTTGATAAACTCAAGTGTTAAAAACTGTGTTGCTTACTTTATCTTCCTGCCTGAGTATGAATCTTTATCATACCATTCTCCCTCATCTTTTCATGTTTTCGTTCAGGAAACACGAAGTCTAGACTTCTAGCTTTAG